ACATGTTCTGTAGTATTAATAGCTCATTGCTGCCCTCCATGGTGGCTAGGTTCTGTCTTAACCAGATCCGCATATAGTATGCGTAGACCCTCGACTTGTGTAGCTAGTCGCATCTTCAGGAGAGCGTACCACCTAGGCGCAAAAAGCACGGACGCCGGTGTTGAACTCTCTCACACGCATGGATCAAGCGACAACCAGGCTCTCTCTCTCCCCTAGTCTGCCGAACAAAACACCAAAACATGCATGGTATGCAAAACATGCATGGTAAGCATCCGCTTTCGATCGTACACATGAGCCACGCTGGCAGGCGTTGTTGGTCTTGGTAATTGTTGTTGTTGTTGCTGTTGTTTTCGACGGAAAGCCGTGCCGGTCTCCACTCGTTTCGTACATTCGTACCGATCCAACTGACGCCCACACCTGTCTTGGACACAACTCAACACCTCAAAAGGTGCACACACTCAGGAAAAAAACACACAAAGAAACCAAGGGCCTACAAAAATCATCACAGACACCACAACCGAACCGAAGAGGAAAAAACGAAAATCGAACCAGCCATTAGTCTACTCAGATGTCACTAGTGACATATCGGGCGAAACGAGGCCTAAAAACGCAAATGTAGCCTCATAAGAGCCCAAGGACATCACTCCCGTTCGGCACGCGATGCCAAAAAAATAACACTTGCCTAAATAAGGGAAAGTGTGAAAGGAAAAGTCAACTTTCTACACGACGACGGTCATAAGAGATGTGCGCGCGCTCTCTACTAAATGATCTGCGACTTCTACTGCAATGCTACCTAAACATCTTTCGACTATTACTCCACCCCCGTCGCTCTGCTGCTGCGTGTCTCTCGAGCAAAATCCACTAGCCTAGACACCCCTCTATTGGCGGTCGCATGGAGTAAACGCTCTGGTTTCTCCGAGCTGCACACGGTCATCGTGCAAGTGCCGTGTGACAACCCACCAACCCGCCCTATCGCTAGCCTTGTGAGGAATCCCCGCGCAGTTGTAAAGAAACTCGAACACGTGACGAAGAAAGTCGTGCCGGACCTTTCGTCCGTTGTAGTACGTCATCCGGGCACATGCCACTATCATCACCAACTACCGGGGGCATCTATCGGCGTGGAATGATGGGAAAACAAACCACGCCGTCCTAGGTAGCGACGGGTTTCACTTCATAATGTACATCGACATCGCGAAGAGTAGCACGTGGTCAACCCAAATACCACACCAACAAGCATACTGTACTACCTTGGAACACGACCAACGTGAACAACAAGGATAGCACCACCACCAACACCAACATCACCTAGTAAACTAGTTCTGCTAAAACATGGCACTAAGCTCACGCCAAAACCCGGCAAACAAAGAACCGACATCCCAAACCTGCGCCCGAAACGTAGCATAGCCAACCAGCATAAGGTCGTCCCTGGAACCCTGGTTCCAACTCCTCTAAATGCGTTGTCGTTCCTCGTTCCCACCCGCATTGTCACTATCCTCCTCTCTGCCTGTCTCCTGCTCCGCACTCCCATTGCTTTCGAACTCTGAATCTAGTCACTCCAATTGTCAAACGCCTGTGGAGCGGCTGCAATCACCACGATTTCGCTCGATAGCCCCCAGAGTATTTCCCAGCCACAGGATTGGTTGTCACCCCCCCCCGTCCAGAAACTTTGGGGCTTACGCCTCCAGCCCCCAGCTGCCTGGTTCTCATCTATACACTCGCCGCTTTCCTACTTGCACCCGCAATACTTACTCCTACTGGGCGCGCTCTTGCCCTCATTTTCCGTCCAAAAGGAGCACCTGTTGTAATGGCCAACCTTCTAAAAATGTTGTTCGACGATCAAGTTTTCCAACTTATCGAGTTTGCCACAGGCGGCGCGTACTGTAATGCCCATCTTGTCCACCGAAATACCACATTCAAAACTTTTCGGAAGCAACAGCTCTGATCGCAACCCACCTAGATCATGCCCTCTGTCCATCGGAATGCTGCGCGACTACAAAGCCAATACTGATCAGGCTAAGATGTTGGATACGACATCTTCTTAACAATTCGAACGATGACATCCAATACCAACAAACATGGCGAACTAAAAGAAAACACGCAAATATCTCAGTAGGAATACACACAACACCGTGAGGCGGACGGAGCCCACCAATCTATGCGTTCGCTACACCGAGCGCGACAGTCTGGTCCTGAGAACCTTAAGGAACAAACAGCTGCCAAATAATTTAACAGCAACCAAGTAACATCTTACCTTCCACGACAGACGGTGCAGGCCATGTCACCACAGCGAGACGCCGTACCCGGAAACAATCGCCACGCAAACACAAGTGGCGAGGCTTACGACACCAGCAGCGGTAGCCGTCATCATCTGCGTAGCATAACCACCGGCGACCCTCGAACTCCCTCCACTAACCTCCGTGTTC